TTCAGTATCCATTCATGATAAAAACTTTACAGAAAATCAGAATGGTCTTTATCTCAGTCTAATTAAAGCCATCAATGACAAACCAACAGCCAACATCATACTAAATGCACAAAAACTGAAAGCTTTCACTGTAAAATCAGGAATATGACAAAAATGTCCATCTCCACCTTTATTCAACATAGTCCTGGAAACTTTAGCCAGCACAATTAGACAACAGTAAGGAATAAAAGGAATAATTACAGGAAAGATAGAAGTGAAATTATCACTATTTGCAGAAGACATGATATTCTACATAGAAAAGCCCAAAACCTCCACCAAAAAACTGCTAATTTTAATAAGAAAATTCAGTAGCATAGCTGGATACAATGTCAACACTAAAAAAATCAATAGCCTTTCTATACACGAATACAAAACTCACTGAGAAAGAAATTGGGGATACAATACCTTTACAATTGCATCCAAAAATAATGAAATACTTATGAATAAATCTAAGGAAGGATATAAAAGACCTCTACTTTGAAAACTACAGTACTCTGAAAAAGGAGATTGAAGTGGACATCAGAAAATGGAAAGATATCCCTTGCTCTTGATTAGGAAGAATTAAAATAATGAAAATGGCCATACTTCCAAAACTGTAAACAGATTTAATGCAATTCCAATCTGAATATCTCACAGAATTAGAGAAAACAATCCTAAAATTCATTTGGAACCAGAAGAGACCTAGAATAGCAACAGCAATTCTGGGCAACAAAGGCATGACAGGCAGCATCACCATCACTCACTTAAAATTATGTGATAAAAACAGCATCGTACTGGCAAAAGAAAATAGACCTGAAGATCAATGGAACAGACTAGAAGATACAGAAATAACTCCAGACATATTCAGCCACCTTATATTTGACAAAGGGACCAAACACATACACTGGAAGAAAGAGAGCCTCTTTTGTAAATGGTGCTGGAAAAATTGGCTCTGCACATGCCAGAGATTAAAATTGGACTCATATCTTTCACTGTGTGCTAAACTACATTCAAGATGGTTCAAAGATGGAAATATTAAGACAGAAACATTAAATCTGCTGGAAGATAGAATAGGTAAAAGTATTGAAGACATTGGTTTAGGCAAAGACTTTGTGAATAAAATACTGATTGCACAAGAACTATCACAAAGAATCAACAACTGAGATCTCATCCTATTAAAAATCTCTTGCACAGCAAGAGAAACCACCAACAGAGAGAAGAGACAACCCACAATGTGGGAAAAATGTTTGCTGGATGTTCCTCAGGCAGAGGTTTACTATTTAGATCATATAAAGAACTCAAAAAAATCAGACCTTCCAAATTTAAAGACTCAATCCAAAAATGGGCGTCTGAGGTGAATACATACTTCTCAGATTAAGAAATACAAACAGCAAATAAATATATGAAGAAATGTTCAACATCACTGGTCATTCCAGAGATGCAAGTGAAAACAACACTGAGATTTCATCTCACCCAGGAAAGAATGGCTATTATCAAGGAATCAACCAATAACAAATGCAGGAGGGGCTGTGAGGAAAAAGGAACCCTTCTCCACTGTTGGTAGGAGTGTAGACTGGTACAACCACTGTGGAAAAGTGTGGAGATGCCCCAAAAAACTAGTATTAGAGATCCCATTTGACCCAGCTATTCCCCTTCTACATATCTTCCCAGAAGAATCAAAAACATCATACTACAGAGATATATGTGCACCTATTTTTATAGTAGCACAATTTGTAATAGCTAGATCTTGGAAACAATGTAAATGCCCATCAGCTGAGGAGTGGATGAAAAAATGTGGTCTTTTCATATAATGGAGTATTACTCAGCCATAAAGAAGGATAAACTGGAAATTTTTATAGGTAAATGGATGCAACTTGGATCCATACTCATAAGTGAAATAAACTGGACACAAATGTGTAAACATCATATTGTCTCCCTAGTGTGAGAAGCTGAAAGAGTACATGTGACCCAAAATGTACAAATAGATATTATAAAATTGGAAGAAACTTCAAAAGCAAAGAGAAACTGGTTTATGGAGAGCTGAGAAAAGAAGGAAAGATAAAGCAAAAGGAATATATATATATATATATATATATATATATATATATATATATATACACTGCTAAATTCTCTCAGTTCATTTGAAAGATAGGTTTCTGCTAATATTGTTTGGACAATTGAATGCTGATATCTTATACTCTGAGTAACTAACTTAAGGATAATAATATCCAGTATATTAAGCATTGCTACTCTCCTAGCATATCATTTTGGAATCTTGTTTTTTGATTTTCTGTTTTTTGATTCTTTTTCTTTAAAATATAAATTTTTTTAAAAAATTTTTTGTTTTGTTTTGTTTTTTGTCCAGTACCAGTAATTGAACTCTTGACTTGTACTTGCCAGGCAGGTGCTATGCTGCTGAGCTAAATCCCCAGCCCCTTAAAATATAAATTAATAGAGTAAAAAATTTAAAAAAATGAATCTCATGCCGATAAAATAAGGGGTGGAAGGAAGAAGAAAAAAGAATGGAAATGTGTCATGTACATGTATCTATTCCCTACAATGAATGTAATCATTATGTACTGCAAACACATGCTAATAAAAGTAAAAAAAGAACCCCCTCCAAAAAGAAGGTGGAAAATGAAAGAAACATGGAGTATAAAAGCTGTACAAATATGTATTTTTTTTCAAACGCTGTATGTGGAGGGCCTTTGTTGTACTAATCCTTGCTCCGTTGGCTACTACTTCACTGACAGTGGATAACAGACAACATTCAAAGTAACTCTGTGAGGATGGGAAAACCTTTTCCCCCTTCTACACTAGCCTACCTGTTTTAGTTATGAACTCCACCACTGAAAATCTTAAAACAAATATTTGTACCATTTTGGGGTTTCTGAAAATTATTAGTTTTGGATTTCCCCTCCTCTCACATAGATCTGGTTTATTTTAATTCTATTCAACATTCCTTTCTGACTACACTGATGTTTTCATTTCTTGGCTGTGTGCCAAATGAAGAATATCCAAGTGTGGGAAAGAGAGGTCCAGAGGTCTGGTTGACGGCCGTGGCAGAGGAGCGAGTCTGAGCACACTTGGACTCATCATGTCCTCGGTACACCGAGTGAGTCGCCCTGCCTAGGCTGTCCTGCTCTGACCTCTTACTTCCGTACAGCTCCCGGCCAAAAGTACCACCTCCAAACCACGCCCCTAGCCCCCCTCCATTGCCACGCCTCTAGCCTGCTCAATAAAATGCCTGGTACTTCCCCAATAAACTGGATCTGCGCCATCAGCCTGGTCTCCGGTGTCCTCTTTGTTCACTGTTGCCGCTTACCACTGGCCCAGATCCCTCGACCCAAGGAGGTTCAACCTCATCCAAGGACTCACCCCTACATGCAAAAAGAAGAGCTCAGTGCTCTTCTTCAGCCCTACCTAAAAGCAATTAATGTCAGGTATTTAAATTTTTAAAAATTAAGTGAATTAAGGGAAATTTTTAAAAGTCATTACATTCTTTTGACAATCTGAGATTTCAAGAAATTTTCCCTTTTTCCTTGTTCTACTTTGTATGGGCTGATGCCTTCTTTAGCCTATCAATATACATTATTTGAAATTTGGTTAGGAGTTCTTCATGTTTAAGTGGTAATTTAACCCAACTGTTGCTGGAGAGGCTCCACCCAGGAAGAAGAAAAAAGTGAGGTGCTTACAAAAGTCTGCAACAGTTGTTGAGAAAACTGAGGCATAAACATAGAGAGGATGATCGCCCTATCAATCAGGCGTCTGCGTAACACCCAGCATGTGGAATCCTTGGGACAGTCAGTCTGGACAGCCTCATTCTTCCAAAGGAGCTGGCTTGACATGAGGAACAGCAGTAGGAGGGACCCTGCTTAAACAAAAACACGAGCCACTCTTAGATGATCTATTTAGCTGAAGCTATCAAAAGCAATCTTTGTCTGGAAAACCTTAACTCTCCCTGCTGAACTCAGATGTATAATTTGAAGCGGTAATAGCTGAGATTCGAAATAAAGGAACACCTTCCACTGTATATATTTAGAGATATAATTATATCACCACAGATGTAAAATTTGAGAAGTGGATGAATTCCTGCATTTTTGCAGATATACTATTAATTATGATCTGGAGGTGTTTAAATCACACTCTTCAAATAGTTTAATGTTTTGAGAATTTCTATAGATTTTCAACGGTTAGATGTTCTAGGAGAGTGTAATTTTTAACTCATTGTCTGCATTTTTGACACAGATATGACATGAATACCACAGCTTATCTTTTTTTTGTCTTTTTATTTAATATATATACACATGGTTTCCTTCATTGCTAATATTGCACATGATGAGAATCCAATCATAAAATGATGTCATGTCCTGAATCTGCTAACTCATCATAATAATTTCATGAATTCACTTGACACTTTGCCAAAATCTTTAGATTGTTTTCTAAAACTGAGAGTTACATAAATCATGGGATGTAGCTTGGGTGTTTATAATTATTATTAAATTATATTAATGAAACACAAATCTTAGAGAGGTTAAGGGATCTTTCTCCACCTCCTGTCATTAGCAGGTGGGGGAGACAGTCATCAATGCTATGGTCTTCGCACTTGACCATGTCACATTGTGCACGCCTGTGGGCTCTCAGTCTGCATCTGTCCAGCAGGGACCACCAAGATTGCAGAGGCTGTTACCATTACATGTGAAGAAATCTTTGTCTTGAGTTGTAGGATAACAGGGGCCCCTGAAGCTTGATTTTATCCACTTTCCTGCTGTGTAAAATGCCCACTTTAAAAAGTTTTGACAGTAATCAGAGGTGCTTTGTGAATCTGCTGTTTTGTTAGATGGAAAGAATCATATCTATAGCCTGTCAATAATTTATACTCAGAAGGAAATAAACCAAATTATAATCACCTTTTGCCTTCAGTGACATTATTCCAGAAAAATTTCTGATATAAAAATTTGAGAATCATGAGACTGTGTTCATAGAACCTTTGATAATTGCAACTGAAAATCTCACAGTTAAATATGAACAAATATTAAAGATTAATATATGAAAAGTGCCTAAACACAGATGCCTCTAACAACTAAACATAACTCAAATATTTTAATATGGAATGTAACTAAATAGCATTCTGGTTCAAGATCTAAAATAATGTGTTATAATTGATATTATAGACTTTTACAATTTCAAAACTGTAATAATTTCAAGTAACTGTTTTTGTATGTTATAGTACTAGCAAAAGAAATATATTATGCACATATGAAATGAAATGGGCTTTGCAAATTCAGAAATTGGGATAACTGCTGGGGGTAATTCATCAGATACAAGTTCTTTCACTCTGACTCCATTTATCTGCATATTTGTCATCTGAAGAATATCCTCAGTCTAAAATATGATAAAACAGACAACTACTTTTGCTCTTTATATCACTGAGTGTTATAGCTGTTAATTTAGCCTTGTTAAAAATATCACCAAGAAAGCGAAAGTGATTAATTAGTACTAGCCTGCTTTTCCTTTTGTAAAATCACTTCCTGAATCACACTAACAAAGCAGTATGAGATGTACATCTTCTACCATTGCCTGCATTGTGGCTTCAGAATTGAAAGTAGTTTGACTCACCTTGGCCAATTCATGTAATCTGTCTGAGAACTTGAAAATGTTAGTTTCTGCCTTCTGCAATACTGAAAAATTTGACTTATTGGCACTTACATATTATATTAGCCCAGAGTTTCTCAATCTCAGCATTCATGGCTTTTGAGTTTGAGAATTTCTTCTTTTGGGATCTATCCTGTGCACTGGAGAATGATTAACATCGTCCTACCACTCAATCACCACCAACATCCTCCCTGTGCCTCCTTTGCTTCCATTATGACAATAGAAAACGCCTCTGGTCATTGCCATATGTCTGCAAAAAGGAAGATTCTCTATTTGAGGACCTCTGAACTACCCTATTATGCTCCGTGCATTTGCTTCCCAGAGCAATAATTGTATACATCTTCTAAACCTTATATACCTAAAGTTTTGTTATTAGCTAAAATCTTACCCTGATTCATGAGAAGGGAAGCAAAGAACTCACTGAGATGTAGCACTTACCTTTCCCTCTGCCATGCATGTTGTTGATCATGATGGGAAGAACACTTGACTGGAGAAGGCCTGGCAGTCCTGATGGAGACCACTGTGAAGCAGACCTGAGCAGGACTTAAATTAATCAACTGGCTTTTCATGTTCACTTGTGAATCTGTCCAAAGCCTAGGCTCCTTATCTGGAAATGGCAGACTCATAGTAAGTGAACCTCTGTGAGTCACTAATCCCTATTAAAACCTGTAGTGGTGGATGAAGCTGGAAAGCCTCAAAGGGTAGGACAAGATCACAGCCAAGGACACCTGGATCAGATCTCAACTGGATAAAAACTGCAGCCTCAGGCATCTCATTCTTGACTGGATTAACTTAATACTTTGTTTAGAGAAGTCCTTGAGTGGTTCTGCCGTTCTTGAGTACTCCCCTCCCTTCTGATAACCAAATAAATATGGGCCACCCAGAGAAGAGAAGGTCTTGGTCTTAGCCCTGAGAGAATCTTGAATTCTGTGAGAGGGTTTTGATCCTCCTGGAGCCCTGAAATCCTTCCATTTTCCTCTTTTTATTTAGTCTTCACCATACACTCATTCAGGAGATTGCAGACCTGATCAGCCTGCAATAACTGAGAGATATTATTAACCTGATATGGTCCCATGCTCAAATTCAGATGTTCTTTTATAAAGCTTTTGAGATTTTCATAAATATATTTAATATAACGTTCTCTTTTCTCCCTGTGGGTAATGATGCTGAAGCAGGGACTCAGTTTTGGTCTTCTCTGTTGTCAGATTGCACACTCAGCTGTGGCTGCAGAGAGGTCAGCCTCAGTGAATAGAAGCAATATCTCTTGATCCCATACATAACCTTCCCTGCCACTGTCACCTTTTCATTTATGAGCCCATTTGGCAATGATAAGGATAGCTGAGGAAATAGGCTTAGTGTTATCTGTAAGATGAATCTTCCTACATACTTAATTATTATCTTCTGAAGTTACCGTGTTATAGGCCTTTATGTGGAGCACAAATTTCTTAATATTCTTCACCTATTTGGAGCAGTTGGTCACATCCTGTTTCCTTAAATATCTTTGTCACCAACTTTCCAGTCATCTTCTTTCCAAGTCCCTGATCATTTTCCCAGGCCTTTGGTTACAGCCCATGAGTTGCTATATAGTCACACATCTGGTTATTTTTCCTACCGAGTAAAATGAATAACCAGGTACACTACCCACAGTTCTTCCCACTGTGAAGATATCCCCTCACTCCTCTATTTTAGTGATGTTCTGTAAAGGGACTGGGCACTACAACTTTCTACTTTAAGGAAGAATTTCCCTACTATGTAGAACTATCTGTTAACCAGGTCTTAGTCCTCTCTTGCTCTGTCAGCTGATCATGAGATACACATTGTGGGGTCATAGATGCACACTGGGTCAAAAAAGACAAGAGTAAAGCCCATGGCATTTGCCACTTCTTCATGTAAGTTTCTTGTGTGTTCTGGATGTGCTCAGTCCCAACCCTAATATATGCCACTTCTATTTAATGATCAACTGTTGAAGTGCATTGGAAGACAGAAGAAACTGTAGTTTGATGTCCCTAAGTGATTGCAACAACAGAATGAACCTATACCTATTCCAGCAGAATGGAACTTCAAAAATGTGTCAGATTACTTCTCCTTTTATTCTATGTGGACTGCAAGCCTATTGGATGGCACCATCCACATCCAGGGTATGTTCTGCCCTCCTTGGTCTGCCATCCAACATGCTAATCATTTCTAGAAACACCCCACACACATACAGAGAAGAGTGTTTACTAATCTGTAAATTGGATGTAACCTTTTAAATTGTAACTAAGAAGTGGATATACACAAACACTAGACATGCCATTTAATAAAAGATAAAAAAGAAATAAATGACAAAACTATAGATTTGATTCCTCCTAAGTTTTTTTTTTTTTTTTTACCATGAATTTACAATGTGTCCTGGAGTATACAATGAATGAACTTATACCAAAATATTATATTTATGTGGGAGTTTTAAAATTAGTATGTTTGCAGTACATGTTTACTTTCATTTTGGAAATTGTGCATATGGCTATTGAAAATGTCCTGCCTAGTATGGTTTAGATCTACAATGTCTCCTGATAGCCTTACGTGTTCAGAGGTGGGGCTCTTGGAATGTGAGTGGATATTGGGGGTGCTATTACTTAACAGTTGATTGACTCACAGAAAAGTTCAAAGTTGAACATATTCTCTTAGGAGAAAGGGCATGTCATCAGGAAGCTGTTGCTGGGGTATGTATTCTTCTGCCTGGACCCAACATTTTCCCTCTGTTTCCTGGCTGTCATGGATCAGCAGATCTTTTCCACCATGCCACTTCTGCCTTCTACCCAGCCAAGTAGAAGCTGAATCCAGTAAAACCAGGAACAAAAATGAACTTCTGCTCCTTTAAGTTGTAGGTGTAAGGTATTTTGTTCCATTATGGGAAAGGGACTAGTATAACCCCTAATTAAATGATACAAGCATAATAGGCCACATATTTTATGATTTTGTTTTCCTAAAATGTCCTGGGTAGGCAAGTGTCTAAAAACAGATTATGGGCAAGAATTTCCAGGAGGAAAGGAGTTGTGGGAAAAAGAGTGACTGCTTAATGGGTCTAGGGCTTTCTTGTAAGTTGATGAGTCTGTCCTGGAATTTAATAGTGTTTATTTCTGTATAGTATTATGAATATCCCAAAAACTTGAATTGCACACTTTAAAATGTGTAATGTCAATGTTCTCTGACTAAAAGAAATACTAAAACAAAAAACAAACTCAAAAACACTTAACAAGGACTGTAAATGTAACAAAAAGCACAAAATCTATATTAGCAAGTAACAGTAAAATTATGGTAGTCAAAAATGTTATTGGAGTCATCTAGAATAGTTAAAAAATACTCAAGGTTTATCTATGCTTGCAAGGCATTTCCTTAAAAATTTATGTGACCCAGGCAGGCGTATCAGCCAGATGTGGTATAAAAATCAATCAAATATAATCTAAAAGTATCTAAAAGGTACAGATATGACTTCTTAAAATACTTTGCTTAATATGAGGGATCAGCAAATATATACCCAAGTACAAAAAATCCAAAGAACAGATACAAAAATACTATTCAGAGAAATTGAAATGGTATATTAAGAGAAGAAAACCTCATTTCATTAGTGTGTGAGAGGAAAGACGATTGCCTGTGTACTGTACATGACATTGTACATATCTAAGAGTGAATTAGATAATAAAAAGTATGATAGGAAGAGCTAAAGTCTTCCTATGGGAATTATAGCCATGTGGGAATTCATGTGGGAATTATAGCCACACATTTTTTCCTACAATGGTCAGATGAAAAAATGGACTAAAGAGGATTAAGTAACTAGGATGATTTTCACTGTGGACATTTCCTGGCCCCAGCTTGATTGTGGCACAGTGACTAAATTACAATTTTGTTATAGTCCAAATAAAATCTAGTTAGCCATTTAGAATTGAAACAGATTTTTGTGGAAATAAAAATCTAATTGCAACTTCACACATTTTATATGGGTTTTCAAAAAAGACAGCCTAAGCTATGGAGCTGAGACCCATGAAGAGAAGAAATAAGGATGAATAACAGAAAATTATACGTGTTGATGCAGTGGCCTTGGGAATGCAATGGCTGACAGGGTGTGTTCAGTCATCATCTGAGCATTGCTTCTTCATAGGAGTGGGAAGAACCACCTCACATTAGTGCAGCCCTCTACACTAAGGCAGCCCCTGTCTCACCATATTCTTGTTTATATGTATTCAGTGACTCTGACATAGATTCTAATAGAGTGTGATGCAACCTCAGTTTTCAAGGGGAGGAGTTGCACACTCAAATTCCTATGGCAAAAATTTATACATTACTCCCAAAGAAAATTATATTTGACTCTGTAATTGTAATGAATCTATATAACAACTACTTACAATGTATGCTATGTATCCACCTATCCAGAAATTGAATGGGTTTTATTTCTTTTTTATAATAAAATGATTAATCTTAGGAGGGTTATGCAGGTAAATTGGTAATAAGAATTAATTAATCATATTATTCATAGTTCTTTTTAACAGAATAAGTTTTACTTCATCTCTTTCTACCCAAAGGGATGGGAACCAATGATTGTGGATAAAGTTAATGTGATTCTTTCAACTACCATTTTGGTGTATACACCAATATTTAATGTAGAAGACATTCAGGTTTCTAAATGACCACTTAAATGTTTACTGATTTTCTAGCTTTAATTTTTCTCCCAGTTGCAACCTTCTCCAGAACTCACCCTCTAAAGAAAGAAAATGATTCTAACTAACTCAGACCAACTTTATTGGTAGATTAGCTATGGTGAGCAGTTGGTGTTGCATTCTCAGAGTTCTTTGTGGACAAGCTGATCTGATATTAAAAACCTTGAGAAAATCACAGGAAGTTTAGGGATTTTTTCAAGGGCACTGCTTGCTTCCTGAGTGAAGTATTACTTGCTGTGGTAAGAACATAGAAACTATTTTCCCTCCACTCTATAGTGGAAATTTATGCCTTGTCAGACCCTAGGTGAGATAGTTCAGTGTAAAACAGTAGAGTTTACAACAAATGATGATTATAAAAATGAACACAGGGAAAACTGAAAAATATATACAAATTTTGCACTTCATACATATAACTGTCACAAAATAGTTAAAAGGCAATGGTATAAAATGAGAAAATCAACAGAAAACCTACAAGAATACATAAATTTCAGTTTGGTTAATTAATTTTTACACAGAACACTAAAAGTATGCTCAAAGCAAAAATGACAATGCTAAACTTCTTAAATTAAACAAATACACTCTGAAAAATATACTCGTCAATGCTATTTTGTTAGTTTAATTTTGAAAATTCACAAACTGAAAGAATTTGCAAAACAAATATCTGAAGAACTTACATGCAAGCTGTACAAAGAAGCTGTAAAACTAAGTCATCAAAAAAGAAATTACTTAATTTTGAAAAATGCAAAAATATGAGCAGATAAGTATAGGTAATTTATATCTTAGGAATAACTATTTTGAATATTAAGCAATTATGAGAAAAAGAAGGAACTGTGCTTAAAAGAAAAGCAAATTAAAATGTCACTGAGATATGTTGCAGTCTATTAGTGTGCTTGCAATAAAAGATTGATGAGAACATCAGCTATTTGCAGAAAGGCAGAATAACAAGAACATTCATTCATTCAGTGGTAGGGATGCAGCATGTTATAGATAGTCACAATTGTCATGTTATTATGAAACCATCCATCTTAGTGATTTAAGATTCTGCAAATGGGGGCTGGGGATTTAGCTCAGCGGCAAAGCGCCTGCCTGGCAAGTACAAGGTCGTGAGTTCGGTTCCCGGTACCGCAGAAAAACCAAAAAAAAAAAAAAAAAAAAAAAGATTCTGTAAATGTGTCATTCTATATTTATTCAACTGATGTGAAAATAGATAAATATACAAAACAGTAAGAAAATTTATTCAGCAACTTTATTCATAATAGCTAAAACTCAGAAGGAACTAAGATGTACATCAGTAGGTAAATGGATAAGCAAAATGTTACAGGTGGTAGGGACCCTGGAAGCAGGAGCAGAAGATGAAAACATAAATTTTGGGTATGGATACAGGCCAAGTTATGGTCTGCATTCATAGGGCTTTCAGAAACATAAGGGTGGCTTTGGGTACAGGTACATGACATAGAGGCACCTGAGGAGAGATATGGTTTGAGGCAAAGAACAGAGAAATAGCCCAAAGCCACCAAGGATTGAAAGGATAGGGGATAAAGTCACTTCAGGGTAGAAGTGAAGTCACTCCGTAACTAGAATGTTAGAATACAAGACTTTGACGTAGGGGGCTGGAGATTTAGCTCAGCGGCAAAAGCGCCTGCCTGGCAAGCGCAAGCTCGTGAGTTCGGTTCCCGGTACCGGAGAAAAACCAAAAAAAAAAAAAAAAAAGACTTTGACGTAGGCTGGATGATAACACAGTGATCTTTCAGACAATGTCTGGCAATAGGCAGAATGGTGGAGGCACTGGGAGAAAGATATGGCCTTCAGACAGAGGGACTGGAAACCCAGGAGAAAATACACGGAATGCCAGAGAAATCAATGCTTGGGGGAAATTGGTAGCTTTGAGTAAATACAATAGTATAGAAAAAAGACAAAATCAATCTTGTGAGTTTCTGTCTCAAACATTAAAAAACAAAAAGCATAGAACAGAAAGAAACAGAAACAAAAAAAAAGAACAGGAAAACAGAAAGAACAAAAAGAAAGAATATAGAACAAAGTAAATAGTAAAAGTAATATCAGAGGGCAAATAATAGTAAAAATTAAAATTTGTAAAAATGTTTAAAAGATAAAAATGTTTTCATAAATTAATAAAATTTGTAAATTCCTAAGAAAATCTCTTAAGACAGAAAACACAGATAACTAATATCAAATAACAATACAAAATAACACAAAAATACAAATAACTAAAATTGAAAATTAAAACAAAAACATTATTTTCAGATTGTGTAGGCTTAATCCAATCCTAAGAAGTTTTGTATAATATTCAGAAATAAAAATCTGAGCACAGGGATCAAAATACAGACTTTAGAACTAATTTACAAAACACACAGATAACATAAATTAGAAAAAGCTCAACTAACTAAATTGAATCAATTTTTGAAAAATCAAACTAGAAAATCACCAAATAAAAACTTTCAGCAAGCAAAATTTTACACATAGAATTACTGTTTCTAATTTATAAGGAGGAAATCACTTAAATATCCCAAAGTTTCCCCCAGTGTGGAAATAAGCATGGGATTTTTGTTTTGTTTTGTTTTGTTTGAGACGGGGTCTTGTCATGTAGTGCAGGCTGACCTTCAACTTGCTTATGCAGCCCAGGCTGGCCTCAAGCTTGACGCAATCCTCCTGCCTCAGCCTCCTGAATGCTGGTATTACAAGCATGAGCCACAGTGCCAGCAAGCACGGAATATTTTCAATTGTTTATGTGAAGCCAGGATTATCTTGTTGACACAAGTAAATAAGGACCTTGCAAAGGAAACCTCTGGCGCCATTTTTAGACAAATATTTTAAGTGACTGCTATATGAAGCAAAGCACAAATAAAAATACAATAGACCAATAACAAGTGGTATCTGTAGGAGTGTTTCATAAATAATTCATAGAACACATCCAGTTGGGTTAAAATTAAAAGAAAATCAATGATCATTTAGATTAAATGAGAGTAAATCTTTGATAAAATTTATTAATCATTAACATCTCGGAAAAGAATGGACAAAAATAACTTATCTGATTTTGTATAAAATGAACCCATAACAGAAAACAAGATAATTGGAAGCATTTGTCCCTGGGAATTGACTTTGTAAAGGATGCCTTCACTCACTATCTCTGGTACTGTATTTAGAATGTAGTCATGAAGATAAAATAGCAACAAAGAATAAAAAGGTTAAAGACACATTTTATACAAATTTCTCATTATATGTGTTATAGAAATAACACATTATTAGCTCCCAAATTATTCCCATTGATCACTGAGTTAAGCAAGGATACTGGATGCAGTACTAACTTAAAAAATTAGTTGGATTATATGTGACAGGAAGAAATAACTAGAAAATAAGGGCCAAGGATATAGTCAGTGGCACAGCACCTGTCTGACAAGCTCAAGGTCCTGAGTTCAATTCCTGGTACCAAAAAAAAAAAAACTATCCTAACTAGAAAATAAAAATTAATAGAGTCAAATTAATATAGTTTCAGTGTATTTTGTTGAGTCAGTGCTAGATTAGTGTGTCTATTTACATTTCTATTTGACCTGTGTTTTTATGTTTACCTTATATTTGTTGTGTTCTTTATCAAAATTGTATACTTTTTAATCAATGAATAAAAGTTAATTTATTAAAAAGACAGAAAAAGCAGACTAGGAAACAAATATCTATCAAAGAAATCACCAGGAAAGAAGAAATTACTCAAACATCTTTAAAATTTCTTCAAATCAACATAGGAAATAACCTAACAGGAAAAAAAAAAAAGAGCAGAGAATATGAGGAAAGAGAAATACAGAACCCCATAACAAACTGCTAACCTGTAACTCACTGGAAGCAGGGTTTTGCAAACTCCAGGTGAGATGATCCTACAGAAGATGCCAGAAAGTGAGATTCCTTCTGGTGGTTCTACCAGAGAGTTGAAAGATCTCTCCGCTTCTGAAACGGCTGAGTCCCAAAGGAGCAGGCGTTTCTGGGCTTCTCACTTTAGCCTCTTTCCTCATTCTTTCAGCATGCATATCTGCACATGATAGTGTTCTTATTGGCTGGGTCTTTCCTGATGTTATGCATGGTCACTCTGTCAGCTTCCAGGCCACACCTAAGAAAGTCCTTGTTTGTGGAAAGTGAGTATTGTTTCAACTTTTAGGTCTCAAGAAGCAGTCATTTCCTGGTACATGTGCTCCTGGCTATAAGCTACTTGTTTGTTGTTTTTTTTTATAAGCTACTTGTTGAATTCCTTTGTCAGCATATTGACATTCTCTTTTCTGCCTGATATACATGATAATTGGTATATGTATTTTTTCCTATTGTTTTTCTGCATCTATTGTTTTCTTAGTAGGGTGAATTATGATAAATTTTAAAATAGTCAATGAGTCTTTAATTCCTGCAAAGATGCACATTTGTTTTGCATTTAGTAATGTTTGCATATTACTTAGCTGGATTTGATAAAGTTTCATTGAAAGATATATGCATGTATATATGCATATATATTTATCATATTATTATTGAAGCTTTCTGTGTCAAAATAATCTGAGATACACAAGTTATTTGAAAAAAATAAAGTCCAGATATAGCATGGACCATTTATGCAGTTTCCTCAATGCAAAACTCTGGTGTGATACAGAACTGCAATATTAAACTCTACATAGTGCAAGATCCACATTTATACCATCACAAAAACTTTCACTTACCTTTTTATAGTCACAGTGTAACAAAGGCAAGCATCAGAGACCAGCAGGCTCATGTAAAGGCAACATGGAGAGGAATTTATTGTGCCTGAGTTCAGGCAGAGAGCGTGATAGGATCGTCTGCCCTGAATAAAGGGAAGTGTATCCCTTTTATAGGGATGGAGAGAAGAGAGCGAACACTAGGCAGGAAGGTCCCAGTGAACACCTGTGGTTAAAGTTTTCTGGCAAGCTTGCATCTCAGTGGACAGAGTCCTTTGAAGTGTCCTTTGTAAATTCTTGGGTGTCTCCAGATGTCCCCAGGACCTGCAAACTTCCTTGTCCCATCTTCTCTCCTTTCTTGTGCTTGCCAGTGACAGCCTTAGTGCTGAGCTGAATTCCCTGCAGAGAGTAGTGGTTCTCCTGGCAAGCAGGGTGGGGGCTGGGAGGGTGAGGCCAGGTTGGAGACACACAGCATTTCTCCAAGTTTTATACCCACATTAAGACCTGATTAACCCTAATGTGTTAACTGTTCTCTATTTACATATTTTTGTTTTCAGAAAGTCCCAAAAAGAGAACCACAAAGTGTCTATGCTTTTTTGTTTCATTTGTGGAAGAGTTTAGCTTTTTACATAACCATAAAGTTGTGAGATTTATAGACATTGTTGCATCATAGGTAATTTCTTTGTGTTTCAGTATAATATTCCATGTAGTAAGGTACCAGAGTTTTGTCTAAACACACGTAGAGCTGATATACACCTGGATTATTCAGGAGGAAAATCAAAATCATAAAGAGAGAACAAGAAACCATAAGAAATTGGTGCTATCCATCTCTTAATTGTATTGTTTTCACCCTCAATCATTCTGAGGGATCTGTTTGCAAACTTAGGATGAGGGAAACTGACAAAGAAATTGCCATCGTCCTCAAATTTTAACACCACATTGATTGGAAAGAAAGCATAAAAACAGGTATTCCAGGGAACCAATTTTATACATCTAATGCAAAAATAGCTGTCAACCTAGCTAATAATGTTGTTACAGGTGTAGGTAATTCTAATAGCAAAAAAAAAAAAAAAAGCTTTCCACATGTCACAATTCTAATAGCAAAAAAAGAAGCTACTAGCTGACAGAAAAGAATGATTTGCAATACTGGGTGATAGGTTTCTTCATTACCATAATTCCTTTATAGTCGCGGTGGCGCCACCTACTGGAGACTATATGCCATGGCCAATATGGCACTGGCCCTTAGAGGCCATGTGCTAAGCCCCACCCTTCTTCCCAGAGTCAAATTACGACTTCCTACTCCCCTTTATGTAATATCCTGTTTCATTTTCCCATGCTCCTATCCAATGTTAGCCTGCCATGTCAGCTAGCCCACCCCCTAAACCCCTGACCATATTTAACCATTGTTCCCTTAGCCCGGCCCCCAGAAGATCCTTTTTCTTTCTCTCTGTGATCGTCTCTGCCCCACAATAAAGGCATTTTATTGTTTTATTACTTTCTGCCCCCCTGGCTGAAATCTATCACTGGGCATTGAATTTAGAGCCTCACACAGGCTAGGCAAACACTCTGCCACTGAGTTACACCACAAAGCCTTTTTAAATTTTGTATAGTCACAGAATCTAGCTGATTTGCCTAGGGGTTCAGCAACTTTTTTATTACTGGGAAATAAAACATGACACCTGCAACCTAAAGGAGGAGAAGTTTATTTTGGCTGGTGGTTTCAGTCCATGGCTGGCTGGTTCCAAGGCAGGAATGGCATAGCTGGAGGGTCTGGGCGGAGGACACCCACTCACCTCACCGCAGCTAGGAAGGAGGGAAAGAAAGGAGGAGTCATCTGTATGATTCCAGGTCACACCTCTGCTCTTCTCCTCTGAGCTGACCCCCATCTCTTACTAGCACATTCAGCCTTGAACTCATCAATGGACTTGTTTATTGATGAGCATAGCCAAACATGATCTGATTATCTTCCAAAGCTGCCCCTATGATCCCATGAGCTTTTCTAAGGGACATTTTAGGTGAACACCAAAACACGTAGGCCTGCTTTCTACATGTCACGTTTATCTCAGCCTTCTGAGCAGCCAGAACTATAAGTGTGTGCCACCTTATTTGGCTTCAGTGAGAAAGCTTTAAAGATTTTCCGTTAAAATTTTCTGAAATAGAATAAGCTAAACAACATAAAGATGAGGAGTTGCATACATAATAAGGTTTATATTAACTATGTATTTGATATGTTTTAACTGCATCAAATAAATTGATTATTTTGTGAATCATATAAAAAATTCTAAAAGTCAAAATGTTTTCAAGTGCCCTGCATAATTCTGGGAATGGTAGTTCATTCCTTATATACTTCTTTTTTTTTTTTTTTTTTTTTCAGTACCGGGGATTGAACTCAGGACCTTGTGCTTGCCAGGCAGCCATTTGTGCCACTGAGCTATATCCCCAGCCCTCTTTATATACTTTTGTTTAATTGTTAATAGAAAAATAAATACAGGCTAATATATTGTAAGCACTATGAGTAAGTGAGTACTTTTCATTTTTAATCTATTATTTTGTTATATAAAATTCATATTACTAACATATAATTTATTTTATACCATAATTTTTAAGTTATAATTCCATCATTGTGAACATTATCAAAAATTTTCATCTCTTCTTTAAGGAAAGGGGTTTGTGTATTTCAAGATGGATGGAGGATAATTATATAATCTTAAAGAGAAATATGATATTACTGTTTTTTTAATTGTCATTTGCATGTGTTAAATTGGCTATGCCATGTTATTCTGGACTCTCTGTGAAGGTGTGTCTGGGTGAGATTAATTATTAAATCAATAGACTGAGCATAACACATTCCCTTACCAGTGTGAGCCTCATTCATTCCACTGAAGACCTGGAAGAAAAGTCTAAGCAAAAGGATTTATTCTCTCTACCTGATAAATCTTGATCGAATAGTCTTCATTTATGTTCAAGCTGGAACTTGCACCATTAGCTGTCCTCATTCTTTTTCCTTCAGACGCCAACTGGAACTTAACTTTAGCTCTTTAGATTCTCTGTCAAATGCTTCAAATTGATCTGCTACCTTACACAGACCCAAAGTCCAGTGATCATAGGCTGGGGCCTCTAAAACTGTGAGGAAAAGAAAAAAGCTTTTTTTCATTTTTAACTAATTATGTCAGGTATTTTATCATACAGTTGGAAATTCAACTAAAACATTACTACCTCAGGAATAGATCTCTTCTTTTTAAAACTCTCTCTCTTTCTCTCTCCCCTCTCTCTCTGTGTGTGTGTGTGGCTCCAGACAGAATATTTGTTATGGTTTATATCTGAAATGAAATGCAGCCCCAAAACTCATGTATTCAGTGGTGGTGCTTTAGAAAGTTGCCTGGATCATAGGGCGCTTATCAGTGAATTAATACACTGATGAGGTCATAGCTAAATGTGCTCTTAGGAGTTCACACAGGGCTGGAGATAAAATAACTTGGAGATAGGTCAGTGAGGGTATAGTGTTTGTCTTGCCAGCTGAAAGCAAATTGTTTTTGATGGGCCATGTGGATAGCAATGAAGAAGCAGTTTACCAAATCAAGTAGCAGGAGACTTGTAAATTTGCTTAAGAAAGGAACCCATATCTGGTACAGCAGCTGCAACTAGACTCACCACTTGCTTCAGTTTACAGTAACGCACCATTGTTCTCCAAGTTCCAGCAGTCTTCTACAAAGGCCAACTAGCAGAATAGAGTGGGGATGTGGTGTGAACCACCATTTCTACATCTTTCGATTCCTTGATAGTGGCACTAATTTCTACAATCTCTCCAGATATGGGATACTATTTTTGGTTTATTATTTTACCAGCTAAAAATAATTTTAATGGCTTCCATTTGACCTTTCCAGCCATGACAGCCCTAACACGACAGGTTAAGAAAGCAATGCGAGGATTCTGCTTAGTAAAAAGTATATCTATCCCAGTAATGCATTCTGGAACAGAGGAAGTGACTACAGGACAGATTAGGGATCTACTGGACCCACTGTGAGTTGTAACTTTGCTGACACTCCTGCGGTCTTGAGGCTGGTATGACCTTGCTTTAGGAACAGAGAAGTAAGTGGAAGGCTGCCATGCTCTCTTGCTGTGGAAAGAAGGCTTGTAACTGCAGCACTCCTAAGGGAAGATAACATCTGCTGAGGACAATGCAAAGAATGCAGACATTTAGACATAGGGAAGGACCTGTTCTTCCTTAACTTTTCCCTATCAGCCACAGATAATGTTCCAGAAAAATTTCATGCTTCCTTTGCCTGTGCTCCTGTCTTGCTAA